AAAAAAAAAAAAAAAAAAGGAAATAGCCACATATTCCCAGCTCATCTTTCAAGACTGGGATGAAGGCAGGAAACTTTTGTCCAAGTTACCATGAGTTAGGGGCTTTGCATCACACCGTGAAAGATACAATGAAAGAGCTCCCCTGGTTACATTAGAAGAAATAGTGGGACACCATGTTTTGATCCTAGAAGCTTGTTGAAAAATGGCCTTTTAAAGACGAAAGCAAGTCTAGTTAGTGGAAAGGAGAGTAGAATAAAGAGTTATTTGGATGTGAAGAAAATAAAAGGCTTTAGAACAACTGAAGGAAAGATGTATTGGAGTGAACAGTGAATAAAATATTAGGGAAATAAAAGGAATGGAGGTGACCATTAGTAACAGTTAAAGGAGAAAAAGATAAGTCATTGAGAATTGAAGAAAAAGATGAAAAAGGATAAAAGGAAATATTACTGTCTGAACAAAGAGAGCAAGAAGCCGTGGACAGAATAAACATTGTCTATAGCCTGCTAAAAGCTGAACACAGAATTGGTTGAATGTAAGTATGGGGTATGAGCAGATGTAATACGTCTGTCAGGCAAGGACACAAGACTTTCAGACAACTTTACAGAATGGTGAAAAGTGTAGACATCAACTGATTGATTATGCTGTGTTTACACCTTCTACAAGACCAAACTTTATAATGATTGGAAACCAAAGCTCTTAAGTATTGTAAAGAAACAGGAAAAATGGAAAATACAAATGCCGTAAGTGGAGTTCAAGAGATGTTACTAGCCCGGTGTCTTTTAACCTAAAATTTTATTACCTAAAACATCAATTTTGTGTGTGCCTGTGTGTGTCTGTGTGTCTGTGTGTCTGTGTGTGTGTGTGTGTGTGTGTGTGTGTGTGTGTGTGTGTGTCTGTGTCTGTGTGTCACTAAAATGATCCTAACCATTTCCTGGATCTTAGTATACAACTTCAAGTATTTTTTAGCTTTCTGGTTCTGTTTGATTCTTTTCCATTTTCACCCAGATGTTAGCCTTGTGTCAATATGGCCTTCGTTCTGAGAGTACCCACCACTCACCAGTTTCTTGGTTAATCACATTTTCAAGAGATAGAAACCATAGGGAAACCCATGAAAGAAACAGAATGAGAGAGGGGAGAGGGAGAGGGAGGGAGAGAGTAGGGGGAATGTTCATTGGCTAGGGGGAAACTTCTTCAATACTCTGGACTTTTCCTTTCCTCTAGAACAGAGCAATACTTTGCTACTTCTTCTAGAAATCCAGATTTTTCCCAAACAATATTCAGTAGGCATTCTCAAGTCTATGGAAACTTTCTTCTTCGTTTAGGTACAATTAACCTTATTCTCAGGGCCTAACTCATAACAGTCTATGTATATTGCTTTGAGGTGAACTCAGAAGTACCAAACCAGATCTACTCTTCGTATTTTTTTTTTAACCCTACGAAGACATATGAACCTACAGTTTCACCGAGAGGGGAGCTAGTCAGATTTTGCTGATCCAACAATTTACACACAAATTCATATATAAAATTTTAAATATCCTCAATTCCTATATTACTGACTTTTCCTAAATGTGCTATCATTGATAATCAAGCTGGTTCCATTTAGCATTTACTAGCTTACACAGAACCAACAACCATAACCCACATAATTACTTAGGGGATTAAAAAAAAAACACAGATACACACAAAACTGTGATATTGGAATGTACAGTATGGTCTGGTTTAAATTAAAAAGATCCCCCAAAGTATGATTGTTTCCAGCTTCTCAGCGGTGAATTAAAAGCTGTTTGGTGTCGCGAGGATTACAGAAGCAATCACATTTATGGGCCTGCTTTGCATACCAACTCTATTAATTTCCATACTCAGGGTGGTTTCACATTCCCACCCATGTTAATATACGTGCCATTTGGGATAACCACTTGCAAAAAAGAAAAAAGAAAAGAAAGAAAAGGGAGAGAGAGAGAAAGAGAGAGAGAAAGAGAAGAGAGAAGATGAGACAGATAAGAGAAGAGCCAGAAAAATGGTTCTCTTAAACAAAGTTCCCTTTGAAACACATTGATTCTGATAAATAGAAGACTCAAAAGACAAATGAGGGTTCCTGATGGTCTGACTCAAAAGTCACACTCAGGGATCAAATTAACATGAAATCACATATTGGAATTCACTTCCTGTGCCGATCCCGCACCTTGTCATTGCAGACTCTAATTACTGACATGATTTCATTGGTGTAATTGCATCAAGATGCTCACGGACTTCACCTTGGGTAGCTGCCTTGCTGCTCAGCATTGCGTCTTCATTACCGTGTTCCTTTCAACTCTTAAAATGTGTTCCAGCCTCACAGAATAATCCAATCACGCAGGCTGGTTTTGTTTTGTTTTGTTTTGTTTTGTTTTGTTTTGTTTTGTCTTCCTTTCCTTTAAACATACCAGCCACAGAGCACAGGAATGAAGGAGTATGGTCAGTGTGGAAGGCGAACCTGAGACCGTACGGGCAAATGCACAATAATCTTCCCTAAAGGGACCTTGGAGCATCTGATCAAATTAAATCACTGTTTTCATATCCTTCATTCCCGGATGTTAAAAAATGGTGCTCAAGAGTCTACAATTAAATGGTTATTTGCCTACCATCAATTTTAAATTCTATTGTGCTAAAACTATGCTCACCACACATTTAGCAATGTACGCCCTACTCTCCTGAAGATAAAACAATGTGATGTTGGCATTAAAAATAGGAAGAGATGATAACCACAGATCTGACAGGAGAATATTTTCATTGGAATTTGGGGGGATTTGAGTTTACTCCACAAAATAGCCAGTAGATTTTCTGAATCTTTCTTTCTTTTTTTTTTTTAAATGATTTTATTTTATTAATTTTTTAAACATGATTTATTGTCAAATTGGCTAATATACAGTGTGTGGAGTGTGCACTTGAGTTTTGGGGTAGATTCCCATGGTTCATCGCTTACATACAACATCCAGTGCTCATCCCAACAAGTGCCCTCCTCAACACCCATCACCCATTATCCCCTCTCCCCCAAGCCCCCATCCTCCCTCAATTTGGTCTCTGTATTTAAAAGTCTCTTATGGTTTGCCTCCCTACCTCTGTGAATCTTTCTCAAGAGCCTCAATTAGCCTTCAGAATAGGAGTTTTGAATTCCTAGGACTAAAAATTCCCAGAAGCCAACCTGCTCTCACCATCATTTTGACCTAACACTACGCACAAGAAATCCCGATCAAACATCAATCCATGGGAAGACAATGGTTTTGTGCTCAGGGATCTGCCCAAGTGAAATGGATTTCGTTTCCTTACGTTAGAGACTGGTGGTCCCCTTTTCTGGGAGTAGTGGGGAAATGCTCACCAATGACAAAATACTACAAAGCGATACACAACTACTCTGTTCACCTCTCAGCTAACAAGGCCCTAGGTCAAGAGCTTCCACCCTGGGTCAAGCAGAGACAGAAAACAATCAGAAAACACTTAGCTTAGGGAATACCACATCCTAAGACACATTCTCAGACATTGGTGAGTTCAAACATGAAAATGGGCCAAAAGAATCATCAAGTGACATTGCTTACGGTTTAGAATCGCCTGGTCCTCAATGAACTGAGCCGGCTGATCGATATGGAACAATTTCTGCTGAAATCCAGGCGTGCAGTCCAAATCTTCTGCAGATGTTAGCAGCAGCACCTGAGAAAAAAACCGAAGCCATCAATATTTTAACTGCGGCTTATGTGTTTGCCCTGCTAACTTTTACCAAATCTGTGACTTTTAGAAATGAGCTGAGGCTTTAATTTTATTTCCCAAATGAAGAGGTAAGTTGATATTTCTCCCGTGGCTGCCAACAATTCGTTTTGGCGATGAGATTTGGAAAACACGCAAATGGGAACAGCTGCTGCAGTTTCCATTAAGTTGCCGTTAAAGAAATAACTTTGTCAGATTTTTACACCTGCTAAGACTCTCACCATGGTTTCTATGTGTGAAATTTCGTTACAAAAACAGTCAATTTCATATGATGCCTGAGCTAAAACCAACTTCACTGTCACAGATGCAAAGGAGCAGTGCCATCTATAATGAGGAGGAAAGCACAACTATTCCATTGGAAATTACTTCCCAAAGGAATTCAGGGCCCACTAGACCTTTGCAATCCAATGTGGTGGCCTTAAGACGCTCACAGCTACTAAGCATGTGAAATGTAGCTGGGCTGAAAATGTCAGTGTAAAATACATGTAGGATTTTGAAGACTGACTACAAAAAAATTAAAAAAATAATGTAAAATAATTAATAATTTGTATATAGATTACTGTTCAAATAATAATATTTTACAGACCGGACTAAACAGATATGTTGTTAAAGTCAATTTTACCACTTTCTTTGTACTTGTGTAAGTTTGGCTACTAGAAAACCTAAAATTCACAATTGCTTCCAAAAGCTCAGCTTTGTCTTTGCAAATCCTTGGGGTTCTTCATCCCAGAGTCAAAAATTTAGGCTATATGTTTTGGAATATAATAGTAGGTGACACACTCCTGGGCAAGGGGTAATTCAGTAAGACAAGGAAGAGTCGCAGGTTTAGTAGGCAAAGACTACAATCCCTGTGAAGATAGGAATTACCTCTTTTTCCCCAACTTTGATACCAAGGACCTACCATATATACTGGCACAGAGAAGATGCTCCATAAAACTTAACATACAATTGCTAACGTTTTTCAGCCTTTAGTACATGGCAAGCATGTCTACGTTTGCTATGCATCATCTCCTTTAATCCCCACAGCAGCCCTATGATGTATTTAGTATTTTAAATGTTTATTTACTTTGAAAGAGAGAGAGAGAGCAGGGGAGGGACACAGAGAGAAGAAGAGAAAATCCCAAGCAGGCTCTGCGCTGTCCACTCAGAGCCCGATACGGGGCTCGAACTCATGAACCAAGTTGAAATCAAGAGTTGGTCGCCCAACTAACCGAGCCATCCAGGTACCCCATATTTAATTTCTTATAGGAAATTAAATTCTTACATTTTACAAAGGGCCTGATGTTCTCACACGTTGGCCCAAGATCCAAGATTGTAGAGTTGGGACAGGTAGAGCCAGGATCCAAATCCAGGCTTAGGTGTCCTCTGAGATGGATCACGGTCAGAGCTCCTCCCAGACCCCACAGGCTTTCCACACCCTAGGGCAGGACTTTACATTTGGCTGAGCTACTTCTCTGAATCCCATGGAAGGCTGCTTTAACAGCATGGTGCCAGCAGAGAGCGTTCGAAGATTATCAGTAGCAGCCCTCCACCATACCAGGTGGGAACTGGTGCACAAATACCTCAGCTCTCTCCCCCTCTGGAGCCATACCTGGGAGGCAAGTGTTCTGTCTCCCCATTTCCACTTGGAATTCAACTCCAGTTGTCCACAGTGGCATCTAGCTTGATAACTCCTCTTCCATTCACTGCCTTTTCTTCCCTGGCTCATTTCCTCAACTCCTGTTGGTGTTTCTCCGACACCACACTCCAAAGAAAGCTACTTGCACTCCAATCCTTGACTTAGTGTCTGCTTCTTGGGAAACCAAACTTTGATATTAGGATACAAACTCTTAACCACTGTACACAGCTGCTGAAGAAAACTCATTATCGTCCCCACCAGCAAACTCAAAGGGTTGTACACAAGGTTGGAAGCTGTGGAACCCGGGCTTCTCTGTAAATAACAGCCCACTGAAATGCACTGAACCCCAAGGAATAAGACAAAGAATCAATCTTTGGAGGTTCACGGTGTGGTCAGACTGAGGAACATCAGAGAAATTGAAATGGGGGAATCATCACCCTGACCGACATCATCTCTCTAAAATCAAAGGGGTTAGGGTATTATTATAGCTCTGTACCTGAGCAATTCTGCTTGTGAAACTTCCCCTTGCCTGCAGAGCAGGCTCTGGTTAGATTGCTTCCGAGGCAGTCATAATGCTAACACCCCAAGGGGCACACACACAGAATGCAGATTCAGGACTCAGAATAATTTGCTGGCGATTTTGCAAGCAGAAAATCTTTAACTGGCCAACAGCTAATTCAGTTAAGTAGCAAATGGTCAAAGGTGGCCTCCAGGCATCCTGCGCCTACAATTATACCTTAACCTTCTAATCAGCTAATTCTGCCCTCAACCCCAGACCGGTAAACCAGTCACCTCGTAGGAACTAAGGAGATACCATTTCTCTCTGGATCCTGAGGATAAGAATCCAGAACTGATTGAGAGGATGGAAGAGCTGAGCCCCTGTTCTTGTCTCTCTGTAGCTCCTTCTCCTTCCTGATTTCTTGGTGGGCTCTATTCAGGATTCTTCTGGAGTCAGGAAGGAAAAATAAACCTTTCCCAACGGCTAACCCTCAGGGTGGGTGGGAGGAGTCGAAAGACTCCCAGAGGTTCAGCTTGGTTTTATAAATTCTTAGGTGCCTCCACCCACTAAAATTCAGGTTAAATGCTTTTAATGGAAAAACAGGCAGCAGTCTCCTGGGCAAGGTGTGACTTAGGAAGTAAGAGAGAGCCCCTCCTCCCTGCATTCAGTTCATTCACTTAGTCCCCCAAATTTATTATTCTCCTGGGGATTCAGCAAGCACTCTGTTAGGTGCTGTTCTGGAGCCTGTATAGAAGCATAATAATGCAGTAATTAAAAGCAAAAACTCCCGAGTCTTTTCCTTGGTTCAAATCTTGGCTCTTTCCTTTACTGACTGACAGTAACAGAAATATGGGGAAATGAGATGTGAACTGAGAGGAGCTATACGGACTCAATGGATGGTGCATCTAAAGCAACTAGAATAGTGTTGCACAGGATAGTGGTCAGCAAATGTTAGCTGTTAATGTGGAGCAGAAAAGGTGCCAGGCATTAGCAAATCATAATTTAATTAATTAACTAGAATTTAAATTGAAGGGAAATTACAGGTCTCTCTGGGAGCATGTCAAAGCCAGGGACAGGAAGTCTGATTTCATCTAGGGGGATTAGAGAAAGCAAATCCACAGAAGAGACATCTCTCTGCTTTGATCTCAAAGATGGGTCAGAATTAGCTAGATAAGTGGAGGGGAATATAGACTTGTCCTTTTAAGCCACACGCTCTGTGCTTTCACATGAATTCCTTTGTGTCTGTCTGGGTTTCATGTAACACATCTCTGCAATGACAAAACTTCATTTAAAAAACAATCCAGACTAATTTGGGGGCTCTTCCCCAACACTGACTTCCACCTGGGCAGTAGCGGTAGTTTCAACTTATTGCCATTGCCCCTTGACTTTTTAGCAGAATTTAAGCATATCTGTGCATGACTTTGTCACAGACACCCACCCTTCAATCTCAATCATACTGAGTTTGGTGGAAGAATGTGAAGAAGCATCCCTCTTTGGTTTAAAAGTATTTGGACATTAGTCCAGAACCAAGCAAGCCTATTCTTCAACATTATCAGACGTCACTCTTATAAATATATGACCTAGAGGGGTGCCTGGATGGCTCAGTCAGTTGAGTGTCTGACTTTGGCTCAGGTCACGATCTCACTGCTTGTGAGTTCGAGCCCCACGTCGGGCTCTGTGCTGACAGCTCAGAGCCCGGAGCCTGCTTCAGATTCTGTGTCTCCCTCTCTCTGCTGCCCACCCCCACCCTCTCTCTCTCTCTCAAAAATAAATAAACATTTAAAAAAATAAAAAAATAGGGGCGCCTGAGTGGCGCAGTCGGTTAAGCGTCCGACTTCAGCCAGGTCACGATCTCGCGGGCCGTGAGTTCGAGCCCCGCGTCAGGCTCTGGGCTGATGGCTCAGAGCCTAGAGCCTGGAGCCTGTTTCCGATTCTGTGTCTCCCTCTCTCTCTGCCCCTCGCCCGTTCATGCTCTGTCTCTCTCTGTCCCAAAAATAAATAAACATTGAAAAAAATAAATAAATAAATAAATAAATATATACGACCTAGATACACTTTCCCCCAAATCCTCTTTAACGTTTCCAGAATATATGCTATGAACAACATTCTGAACTTATCTTTAATGCCTTGGGAATTATGGTCTTCCTATATGGTTCTTTTGTTCATTTATGCATTACCTTGCACTTCATGAACAACAGGCAACCAATACACCTTTGAAAGCTCAGCAGTGATCGACTTTTGTGATCACCAAAGGATTTCTATCATTTGAAAATTACAATCAGTCTGCTTATGAAAGCAGATTCATGTTCAGACAAACTACAGGCACAGGACACAGCCACACTGGTTCTGTATGAATTCCCAGTTTATCTGCTGCCATTTACCAGCTGTAACCTTGGGCAAGCAACCTTCCGGGTCTCAGTTTCCTCAGACGGAAATGGGAACAATAATAGTATCTTAAAGTTATTATCAGGAGGAAGTGAGTTACTTGTTGTAAGGAGGCTTATGTAGTTCCAGGCACACAGTAGTTGCTCAAGAAATGTTTTCTATCATTATCACTGTTTCCATATATTACGTTTAAACCAATATACATGTTTCACTGGTATTCTATTGCCCAGGGTAGACATTCACAGATGTCATCAAAATATTCCTTTAGTTGTTACTGTAAAACTGTTCAGTGTACAGACTGTGCTCAGAAATATTTCAAGGGAAACAGCAGGGGCCTGAGTCAGGTAGAGATGGGAGGGGAGTTGCATCTTGGGGTCAGGTGCACAATGAAAAACATCCGTGCCTGTTGCGAGCTGAGTTGTGCTGCTTTTGCAGAACACCAAG